AGACCCGCTTCAGTCTGGTTTCCACACTAAGCACTCTGTAGAAACAGCACTGACCAAAGTATCCAATTATCTACTCGCTGCAAAATCTCGTGGCCACTACTCTATCCTAATTCTCCTTGACCTTTCTGCGGCTTTCGACACCGTTGATCATCAACAGCTTCTTCTCATCCTCCGCAATATCGGTCTGCAAGATATTGCTCTCTCCTGGTGCTCCTCCTACCTCTCCCAGTGCTCTTTCAGTGTTTCTTTCTCTGGCTCTACTTCTTCTCCCCAACTCCTCTCTGTTGGTGTCCCCCAAGGTTCAGTCCTTGGTCCCCTACTGTACTCCATCTATACAGCCTCCCTTGGTAAACTCATTAGTTCCTTTAGCTTCCAATATCATTTCTATGCGGATGACACGCATATCTATCTGTCCTCTCCTGATCTCTACCCATCCCTCTTGACTAGTGTCTCTGACTGCCTCTCTGCTATTTCTAACTGGATGGCTGCCCACTTCTTTAAACTTATCTTGACCAAAACTGAAATTCTGGTCTTTCCTCCCTCAAGTGTTGCTACTCCTGTGTCTGCCTCCCTCCAAGTCAACGGTGCTACCATCAGCTCCACCACGCAGGCTCGATGCCTAGGTGTTCTCTTTGACTCCGACCTCTCCTTCATGCCTCATGTTCACTCTTGCGCCAAATCCTGCCGCTTCCATCTCAAAAACATTGCGCGCATCCGACCCTACTTAACGCCGGATGCGACTAAGGTCCAGGTCCATTCCACTGTCCTTTCTCGCCTTGACTACTGTAATCCGCTTCTCAGTGGTCTTACGTGCTCCCAACTTGCACCGTTAAAGTCCATAATGAATGTGGCGGTGAGTCTCATCTTCCTGTCCGCCCGCACCGCCCACGCCTCACCCTTCTGTCAATCCCTACATTGGCTTCCTGTAAGATATAGGGCTCAATTCAAAATTCTGGTTCTTGCTTTCAAATCTTTACATAATTCTGCTCCCACCTATCTATCCTCCCTAATACACAAGTATGTCCCGTCTAGGCCCTTATGCTCTGCTGAAGACTTACGTCTATCTTCTGTTTGTACTCCCACCCCTGATGCTCGCCTTCAAGACTTCTCGAGGGCTGCACCGTTCCTGTGGAACTCACTTCCCTCCTCCGTTAGATGCTCACCCGTCTCCACTCCTTCAAAAAATCGTTAAAAACCCACTTCTTCATAAAAGCGTATCAATTAAACTGTTAATAGCTCCCGATTGATTCCTCTTTTGCAACTGTCATTAGTCTAATACTATCCTTACCTTTTGTGTCACTTTACCCCACTCCCTCTAGCATGTAAGCTTATTGAGCAGGGCCCTCAACCCCTCTGGTCCTGTGTGTCCAACTTGTCTGGTTACAATTACATGTTTGTTCGTCTACCCACTGTAAAGCGATGCAGAATTTGTTGCCGCTATATAAATAATAACATAATAACATAATAATAATATGTTACCAAGCCCAACATGTTCTATGTTTTCTTCTGATAGTACTCTGAAAAGTCAAAGGATAATTCCAACCAAAAATGGTGTTTTAGCAAAACACGCTTTTTGGTTGTAGTAACCCTTGCTGGTATGGTACCCCAATAAAAAAATTACAACGAAACAGAGAAACAATAAATATTTCTTTTCTTTTTGAGGGATGTCCTGAAGGTTGAGCTGAGTGAGAACTTGAATAGCCCAAGGGGGGGAGAAGGTGCCCCCAGCAGCTAGCTGAAATATGTTTCTTACTGAAACACTGCACATACAGACTCCAAGTACCATTACCATTTATAATCACTGAAGTGGTTGTAGTATGGAAAACAACCTATTATAACATTTTCTTTTCCAACGTATTTATGCTTACATTTTACATAAGTGTTGTCTTTTTATTATGTATTAGGGTCATAATGTTTGGGCTGTCATATGCATTCAGAAATATTAACCAATTTTATTTGATTGAAACAATATGAGAATAATTGTTAATAAAACCAGAATCTATTATGATTACAGAGCAAAAAAACATCAACACATATATTATCGGTAAACATAATATCCAGTTGGTTTGTTAAGTCCTCATAACGAGAGGCTCTGGAGCACAGAGGTCTTACAAGAGTCCTGCTGCTATGCCAACAAGGCACAATGTTTACTCAAGGGGTTCTTTAAACAGGATAGCTTGAATTCCTCACAATCCTAAATCAAATCATTACTTCAATGCCGATGCTAGGGCTTTTTTTCTTCAAATTCCAATAGATAGAGCATAAAAGTCTACAGCAAGCTCTTTAGACAGAAGACCAGTAGGTCAGGAGAACAGGACAAACGGTAAGACATACATGCAAATGATCAAAAACAGTTTAGAAATAGTTTATTCCTTTTATTTGGATTCACTGGAAATTTAAATTAACACTAGAGTGTCAGGAACAAAAACATGGATTCCTGAGACTATAGTGCTGAAGTGTCTGTTTAGGTAAGTGGCCCTCACTCTGTAGAGATTAAAGGTGATTTTTTTTTTAAACTTTTCCCTTGTTGCATCAATTAAAAAAACAAAAATCTAAACCTATTAATAGCAGAATGAAATGCTTTTAAAATTATACAAATAGTGAAAGCCATTCAATAATAAAGCTACATGATAAGTTAATGATAAGCTGAGAGTGTCCGTTGAGAGGTTTTTTGAAGCCGGAGACTGAGGCGGTGAAAAATGGCTTTAGCTGACGGGAGACTATTGAACAGCTTTGGGGTAAAACCGTTTGTAATCCACTTTAAGTAAGATTGCACCCAAAATAAACAGCCACCATAACAAACTCATTGAGATAAAGTTGTTATGGTGCCCAAAATGTTTATGTAAGGGGAAAAAAAGCTGCAGTCTGGTAATTAAACTTCCACCAATCTCAGGTCAGGTCTTAAAGTTAAAGAAACCCTAGATCCAGTTCCTACCCTGACCCTATCAGTAAACATAAACCTAGCACTTGATTTAGGATATAATGTAAAATAAAATACATTGTATTGAGATGTATTAGAGGAAATTAATGTCATATATGCACATTATAATGTCAATGCAATAATCTAATTGGTAATTAGTGATTGTCAAGTCACTGTTTCACTATTTAGTTCTGAAGTATCCAAACTAAATAAAGTAATCCATCTGCATCATAAAATATGTCATATTTTAACAAGTTTAAATATATATTTTTTAACAATCTATAAAATTCCAATTTCATAGATTTTTTTTAATTATATTTTATTATTAATGTAGGCAAAAAGTGTTGATTTGGAAAAAATATTCAACTTGGCTATTTTAGCCTATGTTTTGCTATTTTGTTTTCAATTCACTATAATTATGAGTTTAGGAAATAAATCCCTGTATTTTACATGCCAACAGTGGGTATCTGTGGAATAGAGTTGGGCAGAGAAAACAAGCTGTTATCTGATTTTCATGTGCATGTGTAATTGCTGAGTGGTAATTACTTATGAGACATTGTCATTAATGGGGATTTCTTCTCAGCTGATAAGAGCAATGACAGGTTACATGGACAGTAGGAATATGATTTCATTACCTGCCTGTATCATCATAATGGCTCACATGATGTCATAAGAGAAGGTTGAAAGGGTTCAGGAATGGTATTCCATATAAGAAAGATTGAAAACAAAACAAAACAAAAAAAACTTAATGACTTGCCAATTTTGCACCACTAAAATAGTTGATTTAACACAACACGGGCTGAAATATCAGTCATTAAAACTAAAGGGAAGGACATTAAGACATGCATTTCAAATATATGGACTCTCAGGATCCCCTGATTTTTTAGAAAAGAACGTCTTTTTCTAGTGAAATACTTACTATCTCTCATAGTAGTAACAAGACTTCCTTTTCAATAAAATTGAATAATACATTAAAAACAAAGAGTCGATAAATGCTTCTATTTAACCCTACGTTCTGTTAGGAAAGGTATGATACAAAAAGTGGAAAGTATCCATGCCACACTCTATGGTCCCCAAACTAGGTTTGAGATGAACATATAATTAAATACAAAACAGATAAGGGGATACTTTGTATTTGCCCCCCCCCCTCCCCCCCACAGACACCAATGAAATTGTACATCAAAAGATCCCCACCCCAATTTTCTTTAAATAAATGTATTTCAAGCTCTGCCCATTTTAAATTTTTCACCATGATCCAAACCCCAGTATTATCTCAAAACAATTTTGCCTCTCCTCATTGTTAGATTCAGTTATCCCAAGCCAGAGGTTTGTTTAACTCTATGAATCCTAGTCTCACTTCCAGGGTTTTTTTATGTAACCTTGGCAGCCACCTAGGGTGGCAAACCAACTTTATTGTCTGTGAGGTGAGAAAGGCTTATTTAGTGAGGAAATAGGACAAAGTGAGAAAAAGAGAAGTAGACATGGCATAGGAGAAAAGGATAGGAGCTTAAATGAAATTTAAGATAAAAAGTGCATCAAAGAAAATGGAATGAAAACAGGTTAACAGACATGAAGTGTAAGAAATAAAATAGGGAGTCTTTAAGTCCAAGAGAATTATTAAGAGGCGATAATACACAAAGGAGTAATTAAGTGTTGAGAAGCTATCCCACGGGTAACAGAATAAGTGAACAGAAAGTTTAAACAATGAACTGGGAGAAGGAACAGAAATAAGGTATGAGATGAGTACAAACTTAATAAATATTTAATGTAAATGTACAGCAAACAGATCTCCATCAGATTCAGTTGCTCAACACATTAACAAACATTTAGAGGAGTTCTTCAACACCTCTAATAAGGTTTATGCTAAGACATAAGAAAGGTGTGTACAGCAGTGGAGGCTAGTCTGCACCCTACACACAGCATTAAAAAAAAAAATCTAATCTATTCTTTTGGTAAGGTCTAATGATAAGTGTGTGCTGTAATATATATGGTGTCTGCCATGATTAGCTCTGCATTTTCCTCCCTCCATCCATTGTTCATTGAATATGTTGCTGAGAAACTAATCATGTCAAGTTTTTGGGTCGGTTTTGAAAAAGTGCCCAATTTCCTTGGTACAGGCCTCTCGAACATGCCTAATTTGCTCTAACAGGATTGATGACATCACATGTTGACTTTGCATTGGGTGACCAAATACAGTGTGCCCTAAAAGACAGGCACTTCTGGAGATGGACCTCTTTAAAGTGGTTTTTGTTTCCCAAATATGTTTTTCCATAGTTTTATAGTATTGAACAGGGCATGACGTCTCATTTGGTCAGTACATGGTTTTAAATTGGCAGAGCCAAAGAAGTCACGGGTCAGAGACAAATTCACAATATTTAACCTTCACCAGCCACCATTGCTGTACAGCAAATAGCATAGCTACTGGGAACATCATTTCTTAGATCGTTAATTATCTTCCTTCTTGGTAAGAGAGCAGGCTTGCTCTGGTAGTATATGTTCCTACATAATTAAAGATGTTCCGATTTATGAATACTGTGTCCTTGTGCTCTCATATTGTCCAAATTATAACTTTCAAGGACATTGCTCTATTTCCAGTTTCTCCTGTTATCCTCATAACCTTATGGAGTCAAAGAGATTGTTGTTGGAATGTGTTTTCCCTTAACAACAGTTTTGTTGATACTTTCTATATATAGCTCTAATTAAACTAATAAATACCAATGGTAATGCACATTCCTCAATGCATGTATGTGCAGTAACCTTAAGGAGTCACTAAGATTCTAATCAGAATGCATTCTTTTATACAGCATAAGGTGGCATAAAAAAACAAAGGGAGCTGCAATGTTTAGTACAATGCATTTTACGTGTATTTTAACTTTGGTAAAACATGGAATTAACACTCAGTAACTCCTTAAAAAGGTGAAATTGGAGACAATTTCATTGTGCCAAATTAGTTTATGGAAGGGTGTTTTAGGAAGATAAGTGTGTCATCCACAAAAATAGATATCTTTTGTGACCCTATTGAAAAGCATGTGATAGAAAGTGAGTTTTTACATTTTGAGGATAGGAGCTTCCAATGTAAGGATAAAATTTAAGGCAAAAGGTTTTGGAGTTTAATACTTTGCTGATGGAATGAAATGAAATCCTAGAATTGCTTTTATAAAAGAGGATGGGACACCATATTTAATGAGAGTCGGAATATAAAACCAATTAATCTTTAATAGACTCTGCATGTTGGGTACCACCCTGTGAGCTCAGGCTCTCTGTACAAATTAGTTTGTTGGGAAGTCACTCCTCCTTTCTTGGTGCACCTAAGTGGATTAAATCCTTCCTTCACTAATAATAAAGCCATTAAATTGTGTCCCATATTACATAGGTGGACAGATTGTATTTTTTTGGGCAAGCAGTGGGCCCTATCTATGAGCCAGTCTTGTTATGGTAGAGCTGACAGTATGGCCTTAAATAGCAATATTAGGTAGAACTGGAAATCATGCACTGGTATGTGTTCAGGTATGCATCCAACTCTGAAGGTATTGTAGCGCAATCTGTCTTCAGCATCTGCAACTTTCTCCAGAAGGTACTTGTTGGTACTTGTTGGCTCTGTCAAATGCGGCCAGTTAATCCACTACCTCATTGTGGACTTCACACAATTCATCCAGTTTAGCTTTAAGGTGAGTAGTGTCGTCGCCTAAGACCGGTAGGTCTCTATGTATGTGATGTCCTGAAAGTCAGACAGAAGAGTGCCATGTAGTTCTTAAAGCATCAAGTGGATACTTTTTTCTGACCCTGGATAAGTCTCTTGTAGATAGGTGAGAATCTTGGACTCTGTCTCTGAGATGGGAGAGAGTGCTTCCGAGTAGCAGCCATCTTGTGTACTTCGGATCTTGTTGCGATTCAAGATCCATGAGAATTTACGGTAGGACCTCTTATGACTCCACTGACATTGGTGGTATATAAGTTCGAAGAGGAGATAGAGAAACTCATACTGTGCCAGTTGGGTGCTAAATTATTGTGCAGCACTTGTAATAAAAAAGTGAGATTTTTATTAATTAAAAGTATATAAAAAATATAAACACATAATTATACCTTAAGCAATTGTGATTTTTAATTGCTGGCTTATAAAAATGTTCAAAACCAAAAGTAGTGTAAAAAAAAATCACAAGCTTTACATAGCTTTGACAAATATATCTAATACTGCATAAAGTTATTCAGGTGACAGGTTCACTTTTGACCTCAATATTCCCCATATGAACGATTTGAAAGATTTTGAACTTGAAATAGTCAAAATAATCATTTAAAACCTGCAAAAAGAGTTCTCATGATGACATGACCTTGTGGTTATTTTATTGAGACAAAGCAAGCAACAACGGTAACGGCTGTTGTTTAGCCTCATTTTAAAATGTAAAGTAGAAATAAAGTATCACACAACTAATGAGGTGGTTCACTGCCAGGTGTCACCATTGCTGCCAGCTTGGAGTTTTCCAGTTTCCCTTTTACTGACCATTTGTGATTCATCTCAGCTTTCAGTACGTCTCTGTTAACTAGTCGTTGGCCTTTGAAGCCTTTCAACAGAAGCAATTGTTACGATTTGCACTTGATGAAAGAAATTGTCAACGGCAGCACTAGTTAAGAATAGACAACTTCACTAAGCAGTATATGTTTGCTTCTCAAAGACATTCTCAATGTGGACAACATGTCATTAACTTCTTTTAACATGGGATACAATTAATGATACGGATTAACATGTATGTACATACAAGGTCACTATTTGTTGATTATGGTTTGCTTATTTTTCCCCATCTTACTTGCTTAAAATCTCTGAGAATTAGCCAGTTTTTGTACCAATGACAAAATGGCATATGAAGACTAACATTTAATTAACAATTCTTTATTGACCTCTTATTTGTTTTACATTTACTTACCTTTACTACATATTTTAATGTAAGAAAAATGTAAAGGTGCCCTCTATATGACAAAAAAAATAAATCAAAAAACTGTTAAAGCTTGCTGATTGGACACCCACTACCAATACAAATACAGTAGCAAGTAGCACGAGTAATAAATATAATATGTAATAACAATAAATATAAATATAAAAATTATCAGGGTATGAAACCAGTACATTCGAGTCTCAAAAGCACTAGGGTTATACCACGAAAAATCGGTACTAATGTAAGTAACCAAAGCTTGCAATATGCTAATAAGCAGCTAAAAATTCTTTAAAAGACCACAATAGGCACCCAGACCACTTCAGCTTAATGAAGTGGTCTGGCTGCCAGGTCCATCTAGGATTAACCCTTTTTTAAAATAAACATACGGTAGCAGTTTCAGAGAAACTGTAATGTTTATAATATGGTTAATCCAGCCTCTAGTGGCTGTCTCTTGACAGCCGCTAGAGGCGCTTGCGTGCTTCTCACTGTGAAAATCACAGTGAGAAGACGCCAGTGTCCATAGGAAAGCATTGTAAATGCTTTCCTATGAACTGACTGAATGCGCTTTCCTATGAACTTTCCTATGAACTGACTGAATGCTCCTCCCGCGCATGCGCATTCAGCCGATGAAGTCGCTATGGAGGAGGAGAGGAGGAGGAGAGCTCCCCGCCCGGTGCTGGAGAACGGTAAGATTTTAACCCCTTCCTCTCCCCAGAGCCCGACGGGAGGGGGACCCTGAGGCTGGGGGCACCCTCAGGGCACTATAGTGCCAGGAAAACAAATATGTTTTCCTGGCACTAAAGTGGTCCTTTAAGAAATATGTTCATGAGTCCACACAGTGGTGCAAAGTAAAAACTTGCTTCTACACAGATCCTGTAGGTGTTTTTCTTTTACTCTGAGAAATGCTGTAGCCCTGGGAGCAGTTCAATACGTGGTATCATTTTAACAGTTTTTTTCAGAAGGTTAAACTGAATCAGGCTGCTGGGTCCAAATGGTTACCTGCACCCCATGCATCTGGTCTTACGAAACAGAAGAATCCGGTTAGCTCTACAGCGCTCAGCAAGGCCCTCCAGGCAGGGCCGGACTGGCCCACCTGGATACCGGGAAATTTCCCGGTGGGCCGCGGCACCTAGGGGCTGCGCTGAGTATGTGTGTGCCACCGGGTGGCCGGTCCGGTGGCACCCACTCTGAGGGGGCCGGCGGCCGCATTCCACTCTGGAGCCGCCGGGCCGGGTGGCAGCCTCACCGGTCCGGCGGCCCTCCTCCTGTCACTGATGGCTAAGGAGTGAAGGAGGAGGAGGGAGGAGCATGTCTCTGTACCATGCTCCTTCGTGGTTCCTGTGCTGAGGATTGTGGGAACCGCGAGGGAGCATGGTACAGAGACATGCTCCTCCCTCCTCCTCCTTCACTCCTCAGCCATCAGTGACAGGAGGAGGGCCGCCGGACTGGCGAGGCTGCCACCCGGCACGGTGGCTCCAGAGTGGAATGCAGCCGGCCCCCTGACTCCTCTCATGTAAATGGGAGGGGGAAGATGGGGAATAAAGAGACACAAGGGGAGGGGGGAAATAAAACAGAGGGGGAAAGAGACAAAGGGGAGAGAGATGTGGGGGAGAGACAGGGAAAGGGGGGAGAAAGACAGGAGGAAAGGATAGAGGCACACAAGGAGGAGAAAGAGACAGAGAGGGAAGACTAGAAGAACACACAGGGGAGGGAGAAAAGACAGAGGAAAGAGAGATACACACAAGGAGGAGAAAAGACAGAGGAAAAGAGAGAAACTGCCTAGGAGGAAAAGACAGGGGAAAAGAGATGCACACAAGGGAGGAGAAAAGAGACAGAGTGGGAGAAAGGAGAGCACAAGAGGAGGGAGAAAAGAAGACAGAGGGGGAAAAGGCTAAGGGGAGGAGAAGCCAGAGAAAGGAGAGCGCACAAGAGGGAGGGAGAAAAGAACAGAGGAGGAAAGAAAGGAGAGATGCACAAGGGGAGGGAGAAAAGAGGCAGAGGGGGAAAAGGAGAGGCACAAGGGGAGGGGGAGAAAGAGGCAGAGGGGGAAAGGAGAGACGCACAAGGGGAGGGGAAGAAAGAGGCAGAGGGGGAATAGAGAGATTGGAAAGGAGAGGGGAGGGGGAGAAAGAAACATACAGAGTGATAAAGAGACACACATAGGGGCTGTATATATCACTGGTGGATCGGGGGGGGAGGCAACAGGGCAATCCCCCCCCACGAGGCTCTCCCCTGCCAGCCGATCTCCCTCCCCGTTCCACAGGCACAGTGCGGCACACACTGCCCCCCATACACACACTGCCCCCACACACACCATACATATTCACACACTGCCCCCATACACACATTGCCCCATACACACACACACACTGCCCCCACACACACATTGCTGCACACACACATACACAGCCCCCCCATACACACATTGCCCCACACACCCTACACATTCGCACACTACACCCCCCTCACACACATACACTGAACCTTTCACACACACTGCACCCCTCACACATTGCACCACTGCTCCTATACCCTACTACAGCCCCATATCCTAGCAGACCCCAGATAAGTTGTCAAACTGTTCTTAAACGGTTTGACTACTTACTCTGGGAGGGGGTCCCGGCACTCCCTGCACCATAACCACTACACAGAGCAGTAGTGGTTATTGTGCATGGATTATTTCTTTAAATAATCTACAAGTGCCCCTCCCGGGATCAGGCTCCGGATCCACCACTGGTATATGACATGTATATTAATGTGTATTAGTTTTATTTATATATATATATATATACCTATTATATTTACACATATATTAATGTACATTTATATATGCATAATACACATATAAATGTCATTAATATGCACCATTTGTAATGAGCAGATATTGGCCCAGTCTTGTTGCTAGATGCAGACTCCATCACAATAACATATTTAAAGTGAAGAGCGCACCCACAGGACTTCAAAATAAACAAGATAACGTCATTTTTTTACAGTTGTGCCCTACATACGTTCAGCATTTCAGTCCCATTACCAAGCTTTCCTTAATATGTCAAGGTAGTTGGACTGAAACATTGATTACATGCAAAGGCACGTCTGCTTAAAATAAATCTGCACTTTTGTTTATTTTGAAGCCTATGAGTGCTTTTTTTTTACGTTGGAGTAATAATTTTTAATTTTAAGTTCTCTTTTCTAACTCTGTATCTGCACACTATGCTTGCGCGGCGCATTATGGGGCTGGTAAATATTTTTTTTCCAGGGCTGCTTTTAATTCCCAGTCTGGCCCTGCCTCCTGGATAACGTTTTTGGGCTAAAAATATCAGCTGAGCACACACATATCAAACCACTAAGCCTTGGTCACAAAATAACACCATTACAAAGAAATTAGGGCCTCTTGACAACAAATATATATATATATATATATATATATATATATATATATATATATTTTATTTGCTTTTTATATTTATTATTTTTACTTTATAATTTTTAGTGCTACTTGCTATTTCCTTATTTACTACATATTTTACCACAACAATCCAGATAATATATTCAGAGTCATTCTTGTATATTAAAAATCCTAACCCAAATATACATGTAAAAATATATATTTTTATTAAAAAGTAAAGTTTTTAAATATAAAACTGACTGTGATGGCCCTGAAGAGGCTTTGTACTCTTCTTTATCGTGTACCATTATTGGTGGAGGAGGTATAAGAAGTGGGAAATTGAATGAATCTTGTAAATATGGGCAAAGGCGTGTTCAAAGTTTATCTTAATTTTCATTTTACCAAATGGCTGTCATCGGGAATTTAAGGGGCTTTCAGATTTGAGATTTAAATTGAGAGACAGAAATCATGAACTTGGAGGTCTGAAACTGGAGATGTGTAAATGTTACAGCGAACTGATACAATAATTGTGCTCTTTTAGATATTGACCCTGTTAAATAGTTATTTTTAATTCATACAAAAGTGACAGTGCTGCAACCTCATAGTTTAAAAAAAAAAAAAAAACATTTATTTTATTACTGTGTGATTTTTCACACTCACCCATGCTAATTTCCGAGAGTGAGATGATATGTCTCAAGATTGGAAAAGGCACTTGTTGGCACTGAATTTGCAGGAGGGACTGGACCTTCTCTACATCTTTGATGTTCTTTGAGAGAAGACAAGTATGTGAGCATACAGCACAGGAGGGATGTAAGAGATCATCCAGTACGATATAACACAGTTAAAAAAAACTAAAATGAGCATTACCTTTCTTAAACAACATGCTCAGAACAGTCATGAGTTCTAAAAGCTGTCTTTCATTCATGAACAAATTTGAGCCTAACAAATTTGTAGAGAACACGCCTTCAGCCAAATGAAAGTGGATTTTAGCTCTTTTAAGTTCTTCCAGTGGATGCAAAATAATGAGAAGGTAATAAAATGCACAAAATTAAATCTGCTTTTTCATCAGGTGAATAGTGCAATAATTTATAAATGAATTTATTGCTAAGGCATTTTCCCAATATATTGATTCATTTAATTTAACATAACATATGTAGCCATATAGCAACATTATTAAAGGTTCTTTTTCAAGGGATTTTTCATATCACACCGATGCAATTGTTTCTGAGGACAAAACATATTGTGGGTATATGCAAAGCATTCAAACTGTCTAAAATGAGGTAAAATATCCCCTTTTCTTGGGAAACAATGTTCATTTTAGTGAATTAATAAATCCCATAGAACATAGGGCTCAAACATCTTGTCTTTCTTAAAGAAACCAGAAAAAAGGCACTATTTTAATCAGATGGGCAAGTCGTTTATATTTCTAGAAGAAAGAATAAAATTATTAATGAGTAGACTTGAGTCCTTACAAGATGAAAGAACAGAACATCATTTCTCTACAAACTTACAGACTTCCCTGAAGTGGGAATTACTCTTCTTAGAAAGTCCTAGATTTAATTAAGACATTTCTGTCACATTATGACTTTTCATTTTTGTCTTTTCATAACTCCATTCCTGGCTTATGCTTCGTAACTCATTGGCCCGGAATGGTGTTGCACTAGGATCCTCATACCAAGTTTAATTTCCTTCACGAGTTGAGTTGACAAAAGATCACAGATACTAAGCCCTGGAATTACCTAAGATATTGCCCTCTGCGCTCGGCAAACGAAATCCAACCGAAGACCCTTCAGAAAAGAAGTACATGTTGGTTTACACTCAGAAATCCATTTTGCACAGGGCAGGCACTTGTACATTGGGAAGCCCTGAATGACAGGCAGTTCTGCCAGCTCCTGCATGAGAAAAAGAGTCAAATGCTTAACATTACTCTCCCTCCCAGGCTTTCTATTTAACACACTCTCGTTCACTCTCATGCCCTTGATTGACTAGCGAGTCAGATAAGAAATTAAGACCAGTGAAATCAGAACCAGACCGCACCTGTCTTTACTGCAGCCAGAAGAGAACTGAAATAAAGCACTTATGAAACTGCTGGGATCATAACCTTCAAAACTCTGAACTCATCCAGCTGTCTGCTTTTGCAAACCAAGGATCTACAACAAGGGGTGCCTGGCACTACCCACTTGCAATCTATTTCAAACCAAACGCTGCCATTATGGGAAAGGCTGAGCCATCTCAGAGTGTTAAGTGCCATTTTTAGTAACAAAGTTTCCAGAAATAGACCTGACCTGACTGATTTAGTTCAAAATAGTGCTTGTGATGAAATCATAGAGCTTCTACTTAATTTATTGCTTTATTTTCATCCAGTGTCAAGAGAACGTGCGATTGGTTACTTCCATGTTATACTATATCTTTATTTATTGTACATTGTTAAAGCTGTGTCTGTCAATCCAGATTGAAATAAAGTTTGTATTATTTGCCATGTCAAGGCAAATTGTTATATCTGTTCTTGCAAATATAAATATCGGTTTCATCATTGCACAAATTTGATAATTACTTAAGTTCTAGTTGGCATTTACAATTGACATTGTTTTTTGTTTGGGGGGGAGTGTAATTTAAGTCTGAATGTGAATTTTATATTTTTGAAATATTATCACTACAAAAATGACTCCTTGGCAGCATCCTCTCCTCCTTGCATCACTGCCATGTTATTGTTGTTTCCTTGGTCAAGTGTGAGATTATTAGTGATGTCAGCGTTTAGATAGGGGTGAGTGACAGGAAAATAAGTGGTTGTCTGAAAGCCGTGGTGTAACACTGCATGTGGTTCCAGCTTGTGTAGTGATTCAGTTTGGCGATATGCCTGACACGAGACACTCCTCCACCATGTTTTGTCCTTCCTTCCTGACCTTGCATCATTTTCCCAGTGCACATTCTAAGGTGTCGTCTGTCTGCCAACACACATGTATGCTCTGTGCATACAGTTTTGACGATGAACTATTGTGAGTTACCTGTGGTCATTTAAACCCCTCAAATGGTCATGTTTTTGCCCTATTGTGGTTTCTTAGTATTACCAAAACCATTTTATTTTTGTTTGTTTATTTTTAGTATTCTGAACAGTTTACTCTGCTTTCTGGTATCCCTGACCCAACATGGCCTCTCAGATTTGTTATTTCTTATCCCTTTGACATTGACTTGTTCCTGACTATGACACCTGCTTGAAGGTTAACTCTTTTACCTCACTAAAGGTACCATGTTAAACCTATCTGAAGGTTTGGTAATACATTTATGTCTTGTGTTTCCAATTCTGATTAGGATTATACTTTGATTTCAAGTCCTGCATATTGTGTCACTCCAACTCATTGAAGATGGAAAATAGGTGGTGTTTTGTGAGCAGTAGTTAGTAGCTAGTTAGATATACAGCTTTAAATCTGACTATGTCCACTCTGATCTAGAAGAAAAACATAAGAAGCATTTTTTCACTTCCCACATTGTGAGTTTCAGTTTCTTAGCTATTTAATATATATATATAACCACTTTAGTAAATGTACAAAATATATGCTAGGAAAATAAAGTGGGGTGACAGTACATACACACATTCAGAGTCTTTCAGGGTTATTCATTATAGTGAAAATTCAAAGTGAATTTAAAATTCAAGGTTTAACAGTCAATCTGGAGACATTCTCTAAACCAACTTTGCTTCCAGTTTAAGTGTAGTGGGCGCTGAAAATGTGAATAAAATATCAGTGCTTACCACTGATTTAATTGGTGGATATTCTCCTTTTCTTTGTGGCTACCTGTCCCCTATGTGACAACGTATCTACTAATTTGGAGGAACTATATGATTCTTCATCTACATGCCTTATTGGAACATCTTTAACCCCGCTTCCATACCTGAGCTGTTTTTGACAGTGTATTACTTAAATGGGAGAGATCTTGATACTTTATTTTTATATACATGCATACTGTGCTATGATTTTATATTTTCTTCCTTACCCAGGACCCAGGAGCCAGCACGACCGTGTAGCAGGCGGACCAGGCGAGCACTGTGCGAGCGAGGGGAAAATCGCGTAAAAGATCCGTCTCAAAAATGTTTGCCGCATGTGTAAGTATGAGAAAACCAGCCGCGGCCTGTGAACAGTCAAGGGAGGAGATTAGCGCACCAAACCCACAAGGGAGCCGCAACCGACACGATCAGTAAAAAACCTCAATCACACCACACAAACCCATAAAGCAGATAAACAGTCACAAGAAAATCCACAAACAGTAAATCTTTTAAAAACAGTAATATTGTGCAGTCATAAAATAAGCAAGAGGGTACTTAGCTGGTCTGAGGGAGTAGCAAAGAAAGAGGGGGATTGTGGGAGATGCAAGCCTTTTATAGTCACTTAATCTGTTATGTGATTGGTTGCTTGTGTTACTATACAGTTTTTTCTCATTTTGATATATATTTATATTCCTCTCTATCTTTGCTGCTGAGGGAATTAAAGAAAGACTTATGCATAATAGGAGCCTCCACGTCTTTAATAAAATCATGACTTTACATCATGTTAATAGTAAAATCTGGAAATTAATATGTGAGAAAATTAGAAATGAATTCAAGTAATCTGCTGTCAAGTTATTGCAAGGTGCAATTTAAATTTTTCAGAATATTCAGAATTTATTTTTTCTAACTTTTGGTCACTTAAAGAAATAAAAAGGCACAGTTATCGCTGACACATTTAAAGTAAACGTTTACACGTAATGTAATCTGTGGCCTTGTGAACCTTAATATTTTTACAGCTCTGAAATTGTATTGCTGGCCATGCAAAGCTATTTCTTAAATATTTATCTATGGAAAATATTCACTTGCGCTATCACATGTCATTGGACCAAATTTAGTGTGTGTCACATGTACCTCTGCTTGCTGTTATAGGAAGGAGTAGGCCACGTCTAGAAACATTTTCTAGGCTAAACGCTGATAATGCAGAGACTCATAACTTGTTACGGCTATTCCTGGAAAGCTTCAGAACATTTATTGTTTACCGGAACAACACAAAATGTCAATGGGTAGTGAATGGTTTTCCCATTGGCTTGTGTTCTAACAGATGCCTGAGAACTGAATAATATTTTTGGTACCAAGGGTAGGGTTCTATTAAACACTCTGGTAATTGAATTATTCCTCTCTCATTGACACTTATATATGAATAAGTATCTCTTATAATAGGATATAGTCCATAAAGTGAAACTATACCGCTGGTAGAACAGTGATATCATAATTTTTTATTTTTTTTGCACGGTGACAGATGCATGGTTTCTGCAAAAAAAAAAAACAAGTGTTTCAAATTCCCCCCACCTCCTCCCCCTGCCTTTGACATCAAGCAAGGACACTGAGCAGACCTACACTAAAGTATACTTTCTTAACTTCATATTCAATATTTTCACATTCATGCAAGTCCTACCCCCTCCCCCGCCCCCCTGTGTTTTATAGCCACACGTTTATTTCATGTTACTTCTGCATTTGTAATTCATTCCAAATGTTCATTTTTTCCAGTTATCACATCACAACAGGTGTGTATTTTTTGGAGTACTACATGTCTCTGGATGTTTCATTGTTAAATGTACTAATTTCCTTTGTATTGGTGCTAACATGTCTGGAGGTAACAGAAGCAATTCTTCATAACACTAGTAGTAACTGAGTATTGTGACACAGGGACACAGTGACAGATCACTGCTCTATCATGCAGGCAGTGTTGACTCAATGAGAATGGTATCTTGACAGACCAAGAGAGTATTCAACTACATGATCCCACCCCATCCTTTAAGTCAGTGGTTCCAAACGCAGTCCTCAAGTACCCCCCAACAGTTCAGGATTTAGGGATTACAAAGTTGTCTCTAAAATGGTTTAGACACAACTGGGTAATCCCTAAATCCTGGACTGTTGGGGGGTACTTGAGAACTGGGTTGGGAACCCCTGCTTTAAGCGGATGTCAGTCCAGTTATGTGCAGGAAGTAGTATTAGCTGGTCTGGAGAAGGAAGGGCAGACATATCTCTGCACCTGATTAAAACTAATGATAAATATTTGTGCTAGTCTCAATGGACTTTGTTCCATCACATTTGTCCAAAAAATACCACTTTACACCAAAGATGTTAAACACTAATGATTTACAACATTTTGATGCCCCCTCCCAAATATTTCTGTAAATGATGGATAAAAAATGAAACTGTGTACATTTGTATACTTTGCAAATTAATTATCCATATACAACAACCTTTACACAGAATTGCTGCTTTGTCTTATATTTATGTGATGGCTGTGTGTCCCAATATTGTACTCCTAAATTACAAAAATTGAGAGGTTACCATATGTTTATCTCTATTCTTTGGTAAATGATGTGTTTAAACCATTAGCTTTCATATTACCACTACTAGCCTAAAGATTTATATATATATTTTATTTTTTTTATTTTTTTTAATTCCTGTTTTTTTGTAATCATATGGTACTGATGGAACTGCACCAACAGGGAAACACATCTTAAGGAGCAAATTAGGGTGGACACACAGAAGACCATGCTCTTACCACTAACCTACATTATTTAGATACACATGTGCTTCAATCGCCAAACTCAAGATTGCCCCCATTCTCCTCTCTTCTTTTTCTGCACTTCCACCTGCTATATATTTGTTTCTACTAAAAATAGTAATAATAATAATGATAATAATAATAATCTAACATATATGCATTACAGAGTGAGAAGCCAGGTTTCACTGTGGCAAAACATTCAGAATAAAATAGATGATAGAATTGTATAGAAATAACCCAGTTTGACTGGTTTTATAATATTCTACAATCAATAACTGTTTCTTTTCAACTAGTATTTTCATCATATTTGAAGTTATTCAAATATGTTTTAATGACTTATTTCATGATAG